CCCCTAGCAAATTATCGTATAGTCACCCAACCATAACCTCAGATAACCTTAATGAAGCTCTAAGCCAATGGGCGACACTTATTATAAGAGAAACAGGCTTTGACAAAAGATTAGTGATGCATCAGGCTATTTTTGTCAAAACAATAGATTATGTTATATGTGTTATAAACAGTTTCTCCGTTTTTTTTCTGTGTAAAGAACCCACACACACACACACACACACACACACACACACACCTTGTAATACATCCCCTAAATAGAAAACATAAACAAATGAAATGAAGGGGATAATAATGCATTACCATCTTTTCAATCAAGTATTTTGTTCTCTAAATGAAGTTTCTCTCTTTTCTTTTACAGGATGAGTTTTTAGATGTGATTTACTGGCTACGGCAAATTATTGCTATAATCCTTGGTGTGATATGGGGAGTCGCACCGTTGAAAGGATTCCTGGCAATAGCCATGTAAGTGTGCTGGACAGACTGTCTTAAAATATATATGTAACTGAGCATTCTAGTTGATTCATATCTCATTGAACCAAAGAAAACACAGAAAAGTTAACATGTTTATGTATTTGTTTCGTTAGATTCTGCATCATCAACGCTGGCATCCTGTACGTATACTTCAGCAGCTTTCAGCAGGTTGATGAGGAGGAGTATGGGGGCACATGGGAACTCACCAAAGAAGGCTTCATGACATCTTTTGCTCTCTTTATGGTGAGTATGCTAATATTTATTGAAAGACTTGTTGGCTTTTCAGCTTTCTTTAGAATAAGAGGTTCAAAATATGGGCTAAAGGCAAATATACTATATAATTACGGTTAACTCATGTTTTACGTCATATTCAGCTGCATAGCATTTGAGCACCGCTATATCGGGTGGAGATGGCTAACATGTGCATGGCATCTTATGCTTTTGGTTATTTTCCTTTTATAATTAAATAAAATTGCTTATTCTGGTTTCAAATTTGTCATCAAATCAAAGACCGGATATTTTTAGGTTCTCAAATGTATGATTTGAAATAATAAAAAGTTTAATTTAGTGATGCTTAACGCTCTGTGGTTTACTTAATCTGTGCATAGAACACCACTAAGAAAATATGTGAGAATAAAACTCAAAGATCAATAGGCCCCTTATCAACAGTGTGTATTCACAGTTTCAATAATAATAATTATAAAAATGTATGATAATGCTAGAAAAGGGGATATACGATTTTAAAGTAAGCTTAAAACAAATTGTATCGATAAAAAATAACGATTATTTGTAACACCAAATTCTTGTTTTTGTTTTTGTAGGAGTTGTGCTCAGTCGGTGTGTTTTTCCTTAGCCAGTTATTATTAGTCCGCTTGTAATGAGTATACTGTGCTGCTAACCACTATGACCTGTATCAATTTTAAGTTTAATTGGATCATTTGTATCTTTAATTTCTTTTTCTTTTTCCTTTACCAGGTGGTGTGGATAATCTTTTACACAGCACTACATTTTGAATGACAGGGATCCATAAGACACTAAATATGAACATTTCTGTTGAAGTAAATTGCCAAGAAAGAGGAACCCCACAGCTTGAGGGGTCTCAATGCTCCTCCATACAATATGACTTTTTCAGTGTGCAGTGCATCATGGGAATCCTTGTTTGATTAACAGGATCCTGCAAGAACACCGTGATGAACAAAAAAATGTACATCTGTCTAATTCAGGGGTTCCTTTTAAGGCAGCCTTTATCACACTTCCCACATGTTTATATTTCCTTCTTAATTTTAATGTCATCATCTCTTTCAAAACACTACCGAAAAGGTCAGCTGAGATCGGTTGCAAACTCAATGTGCGATGGAAGATTGCCTTGATGTGAATCAGAATAGAAATTCCTTTGTTGGTTTACTACAGGGCCTTTCGTCTGCTTTAGAAGACATGAACGGACATTTTAGACTATATAAGCAGCATGTGTTTCATCCCAGTTGCTGACAACAAACTGTTGTCATATTTATTAAGGATCAGTCAATCCATAAGTGTGAATTGTTACCTTTTTTTTAAATTTAGGGACAAAACACATCATACCGGATGTAACTACCAGTAATAAATTGTTCTTGTGGTTTTTACTGTTAAATACCATCTCTTACATTTCACTCCAAACTTTATGTTTTGTCTTTTCTTTTTTTTTGCTCACTCGATATAAACGTAGCATTTTTGAATAAAATCTGTCAATAGTCATTTCGTCTTAAAGGTCTGGTGTCCAACACATGTGAAAGTTCTTAGGCAACCACACAGCTGATATCTCACTCGTGCTAATTTTAACATCAAAACCAAATGCCGGCTCGTAAAATACACATATCGGCTGATATTCAATCCCGATGACGGGATCTGCCAGTAGTATCAATATGCTGTTGCTAAGGACAGGAACTAAAAACTATCCAAGCAATCTGTCCATACAAATGATTTCCTCAAAGCAAAGAGGAAACATGCATGCCCTTTTCAGATGCAAATGTTCACAGATTTAAGCTTAAAAACGAGTCTGTGCACTGCCATGACTAACTGTTCTTATATCTAGATGTCATTTATTAATGGCATTAGTTAGGAGGGTAGACCTAATTTAAATTTGATTATTCTCACTTGTAGCTTCCAGATCAAAGTCTTACCTTTTTTTGAAATTAATTTAAATTTGTTTGTAAATTCTGTACAATGTCCGTTTTGTCAAATCCACCTTGTATTAAACAGATTTATTTGTACTCATGTTATATCTTGTTTAATGTAACATATTTCTCAGTATTTTATAGTGAAGAACTTTTAAAAACAGTTCTTGCAAAGTTATTAAAATTATAATGTTATATTAGATACTCAGCTGGTGTTTGAAAGGATTGTATTTTCTGATCAAATCTTTTGGGAATCATTAAACATGGGCTTTATTTGGCCTCCATTTTCAAAGACATGGTTTTTGTGTTTTATTTTTAATCCAGAAGCTATTTTAGTGTGTAAGATTATTTCAGTTTTTATCAATTTTGGAAATTCATTTCTGGCAGCAGAATTCAGGGTTTCCCACACATAGACTTTACTTGGGCGGGCCGGCCAGGTATATTAACGGCGGCCCAAGTATATTTCGTGACCCATTTAGTTTTTTTTTTTTTTTTAATGTAATGTGAACACAACGCGACACAAATGTGGGTCTGCCTCACACAGGGTGACTGGCTGTCTACATGATGTGGGCTGCCGACATGGCCACTGTCAGATCATAAATCAAAGCCCTTGATTGGTCTCTATCATTCAAGCTCGGGATAACCTCAGCTCAGGTGAGGTAAAGGACTCTGAGTGTTTAGATAGTTAACTTAGTCTAAGTTCTCAGTGGGTCTCAAACGGTTTGGTCACCATTTATGTAAACACATATTTCCATCTGAGGGGGTAGTGATTAGTCAAATATGCATGAATAAAAAATAAAAAAGTTAACTAGGTGAAAAAAGGTAAGATACACTTTTAAAACTTGTTGAGCGCTAAAACTAGTCTTTGCTGCTGCCTCAAAGAGGAGCAGGGGGTAGAGGAGGGAGGCTGATTCAGGAGCCCAGACACACACAACTATAAATGAACCAAAAATAAATAAACAAGTTTCAGTGTTTTTTCATATTGGATATGGTATGTTATTGGTTATGGCCATGATTTTATGATTATTGAAATGTATACAGTTCTGTTTCATATGTTCTGTTCCCATAGATCTAGTCTCTTTATTTTCCCTCAAAGTGCACCAGATTGATGCATTTAACTCCAACATTTAAACAAAAATCTTACCGGGGTAGCATGCCCCCGGACTCCCTAGAGGATTTGAGGTCCACCCCCACTTAAAATCACATGGACAGGTTCCTAAATACATTTACAATTGTATTTAAATAGTAACCCATGCCCAGGGCTATCACTATGGGCAGCAACGCTGTAAATATTGACAAATAAATCCGGTAAAATGGCACAAAAAGAAACTGGTAGGCTGGGTGTATAATTTCCGGCCTGACTTATTGTCTCAGTCCGGCCCTGCCTGTACCTGTTCGCTCTGCCATCGCGTGAAGGGTCTGCTCACAAGCGACCAACAGAAAGGTTAATGTTAATGTTGTTGTTGCACGTCACCTCTCCTTACCACCCACCCCCCCAAGTATATTTCAGATCTGTGGGAAACACTCAATCAAAACATGTGGCAGAGGTGACAAAACAAATACTCATGGTAGAATATTAAAGACATTTTACATGAGTATGAGTAGCAATACTATTCAATAAAAATAAAACAAACTACACTGCAGAAGTACAAACAATGTAGCAACAACATTTAAAGTATCATAAGTAAAGAGTACTCATTGGCTGGCAGTTTGCCACAGCAAGAGTTTTGGATCATCACTTGTGTAAAGTTACTGCATGTTTTATGTTGCATTCAGCTAAGCAGCAACTTTTAAATAGTTAATTTCCTATCTGTGGCTTCATATTTTGTAAGCTGGCCCCTTGATTTGTGTGTTAAACCCTGTTCTCTAAAGAAACTAACTATAGCTATAAGCATTCAAAAAATAATGCTTAATTAATGGTAGCCTACTTTCCATCACTGATTAGCAGAATTAAAAAAACATGAATCAATGAATCAAGAGAATAAAATCCTATCTTCTGTAGTGTTATTTGTCCATCATAGTTGTTGTTGTTGTTCCTAGATGTTGTTTATTTCTGTGTATAATGAGAGAATGCATAAAAGGCAGGCCCATTCTAATTAAGATGATTATGATTATTCGCCTAGATTTGGTTTTGACCATGTTTTGTTGCTGCAGAGTTTTCATTGTCCACCTATGCTTAAGCTTATTTTAATGAAACAGTATGTATGTCCTATTACTTAGTCTTAAGCGCATGTGCATTTTGTTGGCACTCACCTGCTGGAATGAACTAAGCTATTCGTCTAACTTGAACTCAACCGCATTCACATCATTCATACATCATTCATAAAATCTAACCAGAAAGCCCGAGTCCTGACGTCATCAGCGCAGAAGGGAAAAAAATATGTGACGTAGAATCCAAGATGGCGGCTCCCCTTTCCACGATGAAATTTTGGAAGCCGGGTAAGTACGCTAAAAAAGAATAAATCGGGCATTTATTGTTATTTTCCGGGGTTGGTATTCAGTAACGGGCAGCTGCTTGTAAAGTTCAGTTAGTCTAGGTTTCCCTTAGCTGCTTTCACAGCAGCTGCGTGATCTCTGCAGCCAGTTCAGCCCGGGTAACGATAGCTCTGCGGAATCAAAGTAACCATGTAACCTGCCAAAATAAAACGCATGGGCTATGAAGCGGAAAGTACGACAGCTACGTGCAGACGTGCAATAAAATAAGGCGGTTTCAACACCTATAGGTGCTTTAGTTTAAGTATTAGCTTTGCACTAAACCCTTTCATCATCTGAAAGCCTCATTCTGCTCATATTTAAATAAAACATCTTATCTTTACCTCCACCATCTGCTCTGCCCCAGGGGCTGAGGCTCCGGGGATCACTGAGGAGCGGGAGCTCAACACAGAGACCACCGGCTCTCCCATCATCTTCAACCCGCACACAGCCCTCTCCATAGAGAAGCAACGACAGAAACTCCCCGTTTTCAAGGTTTTACATCGCCTCTGAACATGCAAAGATGTTACATTAGTGTGGGAAATGTGTTGAACTGTGTGTAGTGTGTATTTCAGTGATAAACTTTGTATTAATTGTGTCCTATTCAGCACAGAAACAACATCTTATACTTGGTGGAGAGCTTCCAGACTGTCATCATAGTTGGTGAGACAGGATGTGGAAAAACAACGCAGTTACCCCAGGTTAGTGCAGTAGTATAAGTATAATTTCAACCATGGCACATTGTGGCACAACTTAAGAAATGCTGGACACCAGTACACCCGTTTTTACGTATTTGCCTAAGCTGAAGCAAAATGTCCTCGAAGTCACATATCTAACAGTCAAAGGCACAACATTGCCGCATTGGACTGATACCCTTCACTCCCACCTTGTTTTTACATGCTTAGTTGGCTCTTTTTTTTAAGAGGGCTTTGGACCACATCAGCCATTGTATGCAAAGTCTGCTCCTTTGCAGTCTCTCATTCGTTTCCTCCATCTTTTTTGATCTAACTTTTCTTTCATCTGAATCACTTCAGTATCTTCTGGAGGCTGGCTGGGCAACGGAGGGGAAGGTGATCGGAGTGACACAGCCTCGTCGTGTGGCTGCTATCTCTGTAAGGCCTCTACTGATGTCCTCTGTTGCTGTTTGCCAATGTCATTTCTCTTCAATAAATGTAGTTCCCACTGAAAGACACGTGCCAAATTCTGTACTTCCCCCTCTTTCCTGCTGATAGGTAGCCAATCGCGTGGCAGAGGAGCGAGGGGCCCTGGTGGGACATGAGGTGGGATACACCATCCGTTTTGATGACTGCTCTGATCCTCAAGCCACAAGGATTAAGGTAATTCCTGCCAGATGTTTGAAGCTTTCATCACAAGCTGTACCCGTGTTTGGGTCATTTCAGTACTTAATGTGCGTTTGTGTTTCAGTTCCTTACAGATGGCATGCTGGTGCGGGAGATGATGGCTGATCCTCTTTTGAAAAAATACAGGTAAGTGATTGTAATTAAGATATTATGTTATCTTTTTTCAAATCCCATAGTTTAACTTGTCATAGAAGAACAGGCACTGGTATTACCAATAACATTAACAGTGGCTCTGTTCATTTCAAGTGTCCCTGAGCGTTCTGATAATATGACAGGAAGCCACCATGCACAACACCAAAACCCTGAAGCAGCTAATAAAATCAACCCCATTATTTTACACTTTTTTTCCCTTTCTGTGACAGCTAAAAATGTCCCTTGTGAATAAAGTCATTTCTATCGGACATGAAAACTGTATTGTGTCATTAAAAGTGGTTTGGATTTACTCTTTCTAACTTTTGTATTGTGCTGTTGTCCTTAGTGTGTTGATGCTAGATGAAGCGCATGAGAGAACTCTGTACACGGACATAGCCATTGGTCTACTAAAGAAGGTAATTCCTGCTGATTCTGAAAAAATTACACTTGACTATTTAACTTTCATTCATTCTAGTAACTATACAAATAATCCTAGTAAGTTGTAAGTTGTTTTCCGTTTTAACGCTGACTCTCCTTCTCTGTTCCCACTGTTTTGTACACTCCTGATTCTTCTATAGATTCAGAAAAAGCGGCGAGACCTGAGGGTGATTGTGGCCTCTGCCACTCTGGATGCCAAGGTGACAGCATCATTAAGATGAGCAGATATGCCTGATAAGCGAGAACAGAAACAAAAAAGACAGAAAGGGGAAAAGTTGGTGTCAGGTCGGATCACATTGTACTGACATCTGCGATACACTGATGAAAGAACTGACACAATCGGGCCACGGCTGCGCTCAGCATAAAAAAAAAAGCTAAAATGCCATATCAGACATCTACTGTCTGTTTGAAAAGACTTTGATCTATACATGCACATTATTTAGTTATACTTCAGTAGTAAGTTGCATACTTTTTTATGATGTCGGATTGAGGGTACAGAAGTTCTTCATTGATTGTTTTAGCTGCAAAACATTTGTAAAATATCAGTTGATAAAAAGTCTGTTTACTTTCACTTTATATATAAACATGTTTGCTTTAAACATGATCTACAAATGCCTCATTAGTGCTTCCTTTAGTGACTGAAGTTATCACTATTATCTACAGAAATTCCATGACTTCTTCAATTTGAATGAGTCCGGGGATCCCAACAAGGACACGTGTGGAATTCTGACCGTGGAGGGACGCACCTTTCCAGTGGACGTCTTCTACACTGTCAGGTAGTCAACGCACATAATCCAATGTGAGGAAAAGGTGTTTTAGTAGTACATTTTGTTTCTCTAACTCTCAAGGGTTTTTTGTTTGTTCTCAGTCCTGTCCCAGACTATGTAAAGGCCACAGTGGAGACAGTGCTGAAGATCCATGAGACGGAGGAGGACGGAGATGTCCTTGCTTTTCTTACCGGACAGGTTAGTGGCAATTTAAAACTACTTAATATTAATTTGACAGAAGGAATAGATGGCATATAATAACACAAGCATTCCATTTATTATTTTATTACTATATTTTGGCATGGTCCGTCTTTTGTCTTTGTCTAGGTTACCTTCTTTTTATTGTCCATTTGTATATTTCACCTTAGGAAGAGGTGGAGAAAGTGGTGTCCCTTCTGCAGGACCAGGCCAGGTCTTTGTCACGAATCGGCATGAAGAAACACCTGAGGATTTTGCCCATGTACTCGGGTTTACCTTACGCTGATCAGATGAAAGTCTTTGAGAGGACGCCGCCCACTGTTCGCAAGGTGAAGTTGCTACCATTGTTCTAATATGTTCAATAGTCATTGAGTTACATTAACAGTGTAGGTGTCAACATAGGAGACGATAAATTGTGTGATATACAAAACACTTATTTCTTTCTTTTGTTTCTTGCAGGTTGTGGTGGCCACTAACATAGCTGAGACATCCATCACTATAAATGGGGTTGTGTTCGTCATTGACTGTGCTTTTGTGAAGCTGCGAGCGTATAACCCGAGCACTGCCATTGAATCTCTGGTGGTAACTCCAATCTCTAAGGCTTCCGCCAGCCAGAGGGCTGGGAGAGCCGGACGAAACCGTCCTGGGAAATGCTTCAGACTCTACACAGGTATGTGTTGGTTTGCAGGAATAGAAGAAGGATGAAAGTGTTGTAGAATATAGTCTGTGAGTGTAATCATGCATTGTTAGCATTTTAGGCAATGTGTTGTAGTTCTATCCTCCTCCTTCCTACCTCTATGCCTGTTTTTTTCTGTCACTTTTCATTTCCCTCCCTGTGTTTCTTATTGCCTGTGTTCCTTTCTTCAGAGGAGGACTTTGAGAAACTGCCTGCCTCTACTGTGCCAGAGATGCAGCGCACAAATTTGGCCCCTGTCATCCTGCAGCTGAAAGCGCTAGGCATTGACAACGTGCTGCGGTTCAGCTTCCTCTCGGTGAGTATCTTCTCTGCATCCACAGGGTGGCTGTGATGTGTTCACCCACTGTGAAAGGAATGGTACTTTGCATTTTAATTAGCGAGAATGTCCCCTAGCCTCCGGGGAATAATGCACAGAAACCATAAAATGTAATGCAGTCATTGTGTGTTCCTGCTTTACAAGATGTAATGACAAGACTTCACAAGTAAAGGCAGTTCCTTATTTTTTTCTGTCTTAAACATTGCAATTGTAAAATGTAACATTATATTTAACAATAATTTTGCAGCCTCCTCCAGCTCAGACCATGGTTCAGGCTCTGGAGCTGCTCTACGCTCTCGGAGGTAAGAAACAAGCCGTCAGCAGGGCAGGATAGTACAAAGGGAAACTGTCCTTCAACTGCAAGACCTGTGTTCAAAATTCTGTCAGCAAGCATCTACAAGCTAAGGTGTCCTTGCACATGATGCAGAATCTTAACCAGCTGTGTGTCTTTTGGCAGGACTAGACCATTACGGACGTTTGACTGATCCCATGGGTGTGCGGATGGCAGAGTTTCCTCTCAGCCCCATGTTTGCCAAGATGCTCCTAGAGTCAGGAACCTTCGGCTGCTCCAAAGAGATTGTTACCATCGCAGCAATGATGCAGATTCAGAATATATTTGTTTTGCCGGCCAATCAGAAGAAAGCTGCCGTAAGTGAAAACTGGCTTTCAAAATGAGCATGTTGTGTATTTGGCAGAAATGCTTTGTCAGCATAACAATTATCCAATTTCCGCTATCGCACCCTGCAGGCTCGAGAGCACAGGAAATTTGCAGTTGCTGAGGGAGACCACCTCACCATGCTGAATGTGTATGAAGCATTCATTAAGGTATAGTGTGTGTGAATGTATGTACAATGTATAGCTCAATCAGTGACAGTGATCACAACACTTGGGGCTAGCGAACTCAGCAGAATGAGGGTTGACTATAATCAAACAATGAAACTTTTTCGTCTTTACTGCAGCACCAGAAGAGCTCCCAGTGGTGTCAGGAACATTTCCTCAACTATAAAGGTCTGCTGCGGGCTGTGACTGTACGAGAGCAGCTCAGGCGTCTCATGAACAAGTTTAAGGTGCCGCGGACGTCCAGTGAAGGTTTGTTTGTTTTATGTTTTTTTATGTAAGGTAGGATTGTGTCAGTGACATATTTCATTTAAATTTGTATTTGTTCCGTTCATGGTATGCACAACTTAATGTATAATAATTGTTTACAAAACATGTCTCTGTAAACACACCATTGAGCGAAAAGGAGCAGGGAGAAGAAATAATCGTATATAAAAAAATAAAAATAAAAAATAGATGGTCTGTCCTACATATTTCTCATTCACAGCCAAGCTTATTCGCAGCCAAACATAACAGTATAGTAGGATAATAAGAGAAACACAAAAACTTACTGCAAAAAATACTTAGTTCCCACTTGACAGTTAACGGAAAGAAACAAAACAAAAGAACACCGAAACATCACATGTACAAGGAAAAGTGCAACACCCTCATCTGAGTCCTACTGGAGAAGAAGGGGGAAAGCGGAGCATCATCATAATAATAATAATAATAATAATAATAATAATAATAATGGGACCCGCAAATAAAGAACAGACATCACAAATATTTTACCAATATTAAGGACTAACTCATGTTCTAATTATGTTTCAAAAGTAGATGTTTTTTTTTAATGATACAAATGTGTGCTACTTAAATGCACCTTTTGCTTCACTGTCATAACTAAAGTAAAATGGCCATTTTAACAACTCTTTGCTTCTTTCTTGTGCACAGGTGATCCTGATGTGATCTTGAAGTGCATTGTACTTGGGTTTTTCTCAAATGCAGCACGCATTCACCATTCTGGTTCCTACCGGTGAGAGTGCTCCTTTTTATCATCTATAAAATGTCTACAGATTATTTTCAGTTTTTCATCCATTTGCAAATCACATAACTCATTCTCATATTCACTTGCAATGACAGGACTTTACGAGACGATCGTGAGCTTCACATCCACCCCAGCTCTGTGCTGTATGGAGAGAAACCTCCAAAATGGTCAGTGCATTTTCTTCTGCAGCAAGTTTCCTTTGCTCCCTTTATTCTTGAACATGTATGGTGTGCAGAGAATTTGCACGCATTCAGACTTCTATCTTACTTCGTCTCCTTTTCAGGGTGGTTTTCAATGAAGTGCTGCAGACGGCAAAATACTACATGCGCGATGTGACTGCTGTGGAGTCGTCCTGGTTGGTCGAGTTGGCCCCTCACTTTTACAAGCAGGCCAAGGTAGGTCAAAGAAAGCTCCTCCAACTTGATATTTGTGTATGAGGCTGTTGTGCGTCTTCTGAAACGTGAGTTGAATATTAAACGTTAAAGTGAGTTGACGGTCTGAAGCCCCAGATATATTATTGTCTGATTTAACATAACCTGTCCCTTCTCTCTTTTAGCATGGTTCACTGGCCAGCAAGAGGTCCCGGGTCCTCTGAAGCTCACCATCCTTTCGTCATGTTAAGACTGAAGACTCACGGGTATAAAAGGAGAAACACCCTTTCAAATTGCCACTGTGCCCCTCTCCATCTCATTGTATATAATGATGTATTATAAACTGATTGTCCATGTCCACCTGCACAACCCCTCCACACTATGTGGCCACGCTAGAATGGGATGAAGTTGATACATTTTTAGAGTTGACATTAATGTGACTTCATTTGGAAGCATCTTTCTTGATTTTTGGAAGTAATGTAGTGTACCTGTGATGGAGTAAATGGTGACGAATGTAAGATGAGACCAGACTGTTTCATGTATAGTCACGTAGTTCACTTCATTCATACTTGTACATAGTCCAAGCAGGCTCAGGTCCAGGGAATGGCTCGTATGCCACAGGCTTGTCCTCACCTGGTTCTTGGCTTCATTATTTTTTTAATCGCTGTATTTCCTGCTGCATGATGGAGAACGAAAGTCAATGGTATGTGAGGATGATTCCCTTTGAGAGACTTATGGCTTACTTTGTTCTGTTTAATTTGCGTCCCCCTCGCCTGGGTGCCTTTATGTTTCTAACTGGTTCACTTTATCTCCAATTTATTTTTGATTTCTTAACTTTCTGCACCTTCATACAGAATGTAGTAATATATATTTTCAGGAATTTACTGCAGAAGGAAACACATTTCTTTATCTTTTACATCTAATAATGATACTGTGAAAAGACCGCTTTACTTTTTGATCCTCGTTTTCCATACATAGTGGCCTATACCACTCTGTGCCAATTTTTATTTTTCAGACTATTTCACATTTCATTTTCAGATGAAATGTGTAAATACACCCAAGCATTGTAAATGCAAAGCTGTGAAATCAAAACTAAAAATGAAGTGCCATTTGTTCCTGTGATGACATAAAGTGCATTCAGACATGCATCCAGAGCCTCAAAGAAACAGTAGCATTTATTCGATCTAAGCCATCTCTTTTGTCATAATAATTGCATTTCCTTTTACAGTTTGTCTCAGTTTCGAGACAGACCTTAATGTAATTTTGTCCCGTTACTGTCAAAACCATCTACCAGGTGTTCAGTAAAATGGCAAATTATTTGAGACTTCCATTCCATATTGACAGCATCTGTTCTACATTTCCCGCTTACGTTTTTATTTGTTTTTATATTTCTTCAGAAGTATTTGGCCCTGAAACCGCCAGTGAACAGTATGTTAAAGGTTTGTCATATGCTTGAAAATCCATAAGGTCACTGTCACTAAACGTTTACTTCTGCCTGCATGGTTTTTCATAAATCTTGTTCTTGAGGTTACTACTTTAGCTAGATTCAGTGAAACTGTAATCAAACCACAGAACACACTGTACCGTAGATAGGTAAGCCAACTCAAATTAGATGGATATACAAAGGAAGTACCTTTGCATGTTAAATGGTACTCTGATAGACTATACACTTACGATCACCTTCTAGGACTTAATGAAAATAAAAACGTATTAACTTGTTTGTGCTGATACAGAGTATGTATGCAGCCAATGCAGTGATCTGTAGTCCTGTGTAATTGCTCACCGCTGAGATAAAAAAAACTGTCACCTGCCATTTCTTCCTCACATGTTCAAATAAAGCCTTATTGTCATGCACTCAGTGTTGGCTGATGATTTTCTTTTTCACCCACCCAACTACTGTTATTTTACTCTTATGAATCATACAATTGTGTGCTTTTTATTCAGTGTACCATTTTGCCAGGAGGTGTCACTGTTGTACTACAAACTGTGCCCACTTCAAAAGATTAAAATTATAATTGAGTGAAAGGGCATTTATGAGTGTCTGTATGTATTAGTTCCCTTTTTGATAAGTGTGTAAATTAAAAATGGTTGTTTCGACTTAGGTTGATGAGCCATTCATCAATTTAGAGGTGCAATGTGGTTAACACATGGACTTAAATTAATGTATTTAATCAATTTATAGTAAGCATATCTGGGGGAATGTAGTATTCCACCATAAAAAATAAAGTGGTGCAATTACTTTGTGGCAATTTTGATAATTACATTATGCACCAATAAAACCAGTGGTGAAGGAAGTATTTAGATATTTGACTGTGGTAAAGTAGAAATACACAGGTGTATAAATACTATATTACAAGAGAAACTCATATTTAAGTAAAAATTACTTTATACTTAAGTATTGGCAGGAACCAATTTAAAGTCCCTAATATATGAATATTCATCATGCAGAATGGCTCATTTTAGATATATTACTGGATTTGTATTATTGATTTAATAAAGGGATTATCTCTTATATTTAAGAATCATGCATTGTCTAATAGGTGGAGTGTTAACAAACAAAAACAATAGTTTGACAGACAATAGCCTGCATCTTTAACAAAATAATGTGACGGCATTTAAACATTGTTTATCAACTTTGACTTTTGGGAATGGGATGTTGCATCTGGTAAAGGTTGGGTATTAAGTACTAAATAAACTGCAGGGTGGTTTAACACAACATCATGTATCCTTATTTGTTAGGTGATTTCATTTAATCTGAATCTGCAAAGTAACTAATAACTTGATATATCAAATGAATGTTATATGGTAAAATGTACCCTACAATATTTTCTCTTAAACGTAGTGGAATATAGAGTAGCATACAATTAAAACATTTAAGTAAGGTAAAAGTGGGCCTCCTCAAAATTGTACTTCTGTAAGGTCATTACTTACTAGTAAATGTTCTAACTTAATTCCATCAGTAAAAGCAATAATTAAAAAGTGTCTGCTGTATTCTTGGCCCAACTTGGGTCCAAGAGAGATGGAATAAAAATATACACCTTAAATTATTCCGAACTATAGCCTATTATGTTTACATGGTAGTTAACAATTTCAAAGAATCCACTAGAGGGCAGGTGAAGCTCTCATCTACTCAGCAGCTGCAGTTCACCTTTCAGCCCTCAGTGGAAGCACTGAGCTCACTATGGCTCAAAAGCAGAGTTTAAAGAAGAAAAAAAGGCGCCAATTTTACCTTACCTGCGAACCCAAGATGCTTTCCTATCACCTGAGTGTCGTGTGGGATAAATGTCTGGTTGTTTATGTGAACATAATTTCATTTTGCGTCATGTCAGTTTGCACCTACCGGATACGTGAAAGGGTGTTTCAACGAAGATAAACCTCAAATGTGTTATGGGAAGTCCAAAAGGTTTGTTTACAAACATTTATTGAACTGACATGTTTTCTTTCCATGTGCACCGGTCAGCCCATTAGCTACTAGGCAAATGTTATGGTTAGCCAATTTAAAATGGCTGCTGTTTGTTTGCATAAATGTACCTAGCTAATGTTGAATTTATGAAAATAAGACAAAATGCCACTATTTTTCATGTAAAATATGATAGAAAACAGTAGCTTGAATGTCAATACATGTTCCTGTTGGCAGCATACAGCAGCCAGGCTAATAGGCTACCATAGACTTTAGCCAAAAGGCTACTGCTAAACTCTGTAGCCTCCCACAATTACAGGAAGTGTAAAAGGGTAAAAGTCACTTATATCATGATTTTTCTCTGCAACCATATTTGTTTTGGTCTGTTTAAACACATAGAGGCTGTTGTTGTCTTACCATCCGTATACAACACAAATGTTTTTGTATTGCAGTTAGGGCTACTTGTCCCAGCTGAGTTTATGGGCAATTTCTGCAGACTAATTTGTGTCTCGAACTTTATATTTTAAAACTGGCTTCTTATCCATCTTCTTTCCTTAGAGTATTTACATTTAGCATTTCACTGCAAGTGTTAGTACTGCACATGAAGCTCTTCATTGACAGATACTAACGTGGATTAATTGGCTTATAAGAAAGATGTAGAGATTTTATAGTTCAATGAAGTTGTGAAGGAGATAAAAACAGGCGCAAATCCTTAACAACTTTCCCAAACTACTGTTATTCTCAGGATCTGGGTTTTGCAAACACATTACAATCAATATGTTGTTGGCTATGAGTGTATTTGTCTATACTGTGATAGCAACTTATCACTGCAATTAGTGTGTGTGTGTGACTAAAGTGCTTTGGTTAAAAGCTCTATATAGTGTAGCTTTCTTAGTTTGCGGTTACTCGCTTTTACCCTTTGTCTTTGGCTCAGTGGAACAGTTTCTTCTTACATCACTGACCTACACATTTAACATAAACAGACCTTAACAAAAGGTGTAGGGAGGGAGGACTGCCCCTGAAGATATGGCTGGTAGCTTCAAAAAAAAGAATTCACTTAGAGAGTTGCATTTTCTCTGTCTGGCCGTTGGCACAAACAGATGCTTTTAAACACTGACAAATAACAGAAATGGCTTCACTAATGAATCAGTTCAGTTCTCGGTGTGTGTCCTGCAGTTGTTTTCCTTTGCAAACTGAATGCATTTCCCACCGTTAAGTAGAAATCTCAATGATATGTTTGTGTTAGTATTAGGAAGATGCTGTGTTCTCTGGGACAATTACACAGTGTAGGAAAAGAAGAGTAGTGCATATCATCCCAGTGCTATGACTGTTAGTTTATCTTTAGGTTACATGAGTTGAGTATGGACTGGTGTGTAGTGTTTGGGCTGGTTGCTTCTGACATGGACAATGACAGAAGAGTAACCATTCAGTTAAAATTATGGCTTATTAAAGGTGGGGTAGGTAAGTTTGAGAAACCGGCTCGAGATACACTTTTTGTTATATTCCATGGAATGCTCTTAACATCCCGATAGCAATGAATATCTTAAGTGCTTTGACAACAAATCCATAAAAAAATGTCATCTGTGGAAGCCGTAATACTGTAAAAAGTACGACCAATCATTTTAGCCGGCCCGGCTAAAATAACTGGATGGCCTACCTGCCTGTCAGCCTTCCATCTGTGCACAAACTTATCTCGTGCCCTCATTGGTCATGTGCGCGTTCGTGTGTGTTGGAGGCAGGGCTCTATAAGGAAGTGGCAGATTTTCTCCGGTCGTGTATTTTCAAATTCTAGCGATCTCGAGCTGATTTCTCCAAAATTACCTACCCCACCTTTAACAGTTCAAATATCTTTAATATTCAACATGTCACATCTGAAATAATGGTTTTCCTCTAGTCAATTAGTCAGTAATGGCTATTATTTACTACCCAATTAAACTCAGTAATTAGGCATTGGCTGCATCAATTAAAAACAATGCAAAGTGAAGCCCCTTCATTAGTCAATTATGACTGAATATCCACGTTACCTAAATATCATGTGCAAAATATAAATCATTTAATACACAGTTTTCTTGACAGTTGACTGACTAACTCGAGTAACTGCAGTAACAGTAACTTGGGTAACTGCAGACAGTTGTTGTCCGGTCATGTTGCCCCTGTTGGCAGCTACTACTTCTGTGTTTTTAATCCTCTTTCATTTTGAACAGTGTACATTGTCCATGGTGATCAATTTCCAAGAAGAATGAGAGTTTTGTGTAATTTATTTGATCTTTTAAGTTAGAAATGGTTTGTGGGTGTGTAGAAAAAAAAGTCAAACTAAAACCCATAAACCTAACGAGATTAGCTACAAGATCAAGATCGTTGTAACCTTTCTGAGGTTGCTAAACTTAAACAAATATCAATTAGTAACTTCAGCAAAGCTTAAAAAAGTATTTACAGTAAAGCCATTTATAAAGCAAACATTCATCAGTAAGATAAGATACTTTCTGGTTCAATCAAGTGCAGTGCCACGGAAATGAATAAACAGGAGAAAAAAGAAAATCTGAATGTTGTTTAGTACAAAACATTTTATTGGACTTACTGTATCATTTTTTAGAATGTTGCATTACTAGTGAAGGCGAGCCACGTTTATTTTGTGACTATAAGTTTGTGTACTTGTGTGTGTATTTGCAACATAAAGAGAACCAACGGAGACATTTGTGCTGTAAAAATATGGTTAATATTATTTTATTATTATATGGGGTGCATTTGGACAGCATTATTGATAAATCAAATCTAAATATTACTTACAAACAATTTAGACTGGACCACCAAGTTGTTAGCAACCTAAAGTTTCACATCCTATTGTTAGACCTCGTCAGTGATGCAATAAATCCCAACTGTGTCACAAGAACTGTTGAATCTCTTCCAAAATACTTTTAAACACACTAAATGATGTCATCTGTCAACGGCCTATAACATAGTGTGATTATTGACAGTCTCTCAGATTACTATTTTTCTTATGCTTCTTATATGTCCTGTATTTCAGGTATCCTGAATGAAGCAACGCTGCAACGCCGAGTCATCAGAGAGGAAGGAGGCCGTTCCCCACCTGATTTCTTCAAAGAGAACGGAAACAAGTAAGAGAAGAAAGGCCGATTTCTTCATGTGTTTTTCAGTTCCACTCAGTTGCCCATTAGTGTTGTGTAACCACATACGTGCAAAGTGACAGCCGGAGGTATCAGTGATTAATCGCGTGCATGTGACTCGGACGAGGCAGCAGTTTGAACAGGCTGCATATACGTGGTTGAGTGTTCCTCACCATATTTCAGTGCTGTCAAAAAATCATTGACATGTTCCATCCAATTCAAAGAATGTTTAACTGTTTTAAAGGGTTTGATGGGAAAGCAAGTGGTGTGTGACTTGTAATTACCCCCTGTTCAAAGTTTGTAGATGTTTTGAAAGAAAACAGTGTGGTTAATA